AAAATACGGCTCCATAGTCACATATGGCTCTTCGGCTTCGTAAATGCGGCTCTGACCTTTCTTTGACCTAATCGACCTTTCCAAGGAAATGCAAAAAATTATTAATATTATTATGATATTTATTTTTTGTACAGATCATTTAGTAATAAAAGTTTATGAAACAATAAGATTTGGCTCCCAATGTTTTTTTGTGTAATTATAGAAATACTCATAGTTGGTTCTTTGGCTAACAAGCATTTAACCACTGGTCTTAGCGATAGACCAGTTATCGTAACCCATATTTAGATAGTTTAAATTAAATTTTTACAAGATTTTATTTGAACATTATGGACAAATATGCAAGAATTAATATTATCTTGTATTATTTTTCAGGCACCAAATAGGTTTCTTCCGCGTCCTCAATGTTCAACAGAACAATGAAAACGTGGGCAATGCTCCCGCGCCAGCCACAGAGGAAACCGAACCCGACCGCCAACAGCAATCGCTGCTCGCCTCCTCTTGGATCATTATCACATCCTTCTTTGCCTCCCTCATGCCAGAGACAATCTGAATCGATTTTAATAATCGATCCCATCGATATAATATTGATATATCGAGTTTTAAATGAAACATTGTGGTATATATTAAAATTTGATGTATCCTTTTTTTTTTAGATTTCACGTTAAAATTAATAAGTGTCTAATGATTCATCTCATTTAGATTTTAAAACTGTCGAAACATTTTATGTCTTTTTGAAATGAAAGACATATGTCAAGGAAATTGAAGGTCACATTTCTTGCAACTCTTCAAATAAACATTAAAAAGATGAACAAGTTATAAATTAACTAATTATTTTAGGGCTCTTACGTGACACTTTTTTCCGATAACGGCACCAACCAGTTTCAGACCCTGCAATCCTTCAGGGCGTGGACCCCCGCAGGGTCTGAAACAGGTCGGTGCCGTCACCGGAAAAAATGATGACGTAAGAGCCCTAAAAAAATTAGTTATAAAATGTCTCACGAAAGTTTAAATAATTTAAGTTTTAAGACGAAATGTTAAATTTCAATTAGCAGATTCGAAGAAATTATGGTTTTCGGCACTTTAAGATAATACATTTATATTGTAAAAATGTGTTGAAAATTTTTTATTGTAAAGTAATATATTTCTTGTAAATATATAACGCAATTTAAAATAACGTAGGCTTACGTCTTAAAAAATACAAACGAATCGATAACCTTTTTGGAAATCAGTTGAAATAATCTATAGTTAAAAATATCACCTCCAAGGTTATTTGAATTAATTTAATACCAACTAAATTATTTTTCTTGTCTATTTTAATGTTATAAATTTAGTGTACTGATATTAAAACCAAATATTAAGTGTATATAAATTGCCAAGTTAATTTTTGTTAAGTTAACATTATAGGTTAAAAAACCTCGACCCTCTTCAACAATTTGTTTATTTAATTTCTTTTTTATTCGATTTTCAAAACAGTTATATTTGGTAATATTTAAGTGATCTTATGTACATTTTTAAACTTTAATAAACAGTGCTGGCTAAATACACTCAAGTGTGAAAGCCAAGAAAAGAAAAAAAAACATTTAGTGCTGGCCACATATTCTTAGTAGCAGTAAATGTGTTAAGAAAAAGTTTTTTTTCTTTTTATTGGTAAAGTAATTTTACAATTGGCCATATTTTTTCACTACTAAATTGTTCATTTTCACAGTGAATATATAAATGCTTGAAAAAAAAAATAAAAAAAATTCGAATCCGATTCTTGATACTAATATAACGATAATATAGAAATAATCCAGTTGAAAATATTAAAGATATATTTAAATAAAGTATCGTAGTTCATTATTTTTAATCATTTTTTTTTTATTTTAGGAATATTATTTATAGATAACCTATCGTTTAATACATACAAAGATCATCTGCATTTAAATACGTAAGTTATTTAATGTTGGTATTAAAGCATTATATATAAAATTGTTTATATACTGTGATAAGGTTTTTTTTTTTGGTTTTTTGTTTGCACTATCCTAATAAATGAAAAGTAAATTTTATGTGTTTTAATTTGATTTTCAACTTTTTCCAGTACTTTAGACTTATTCTCGATTAACTGTTAAAAAAACAAGGAATGGACTCAGAATTTTTTACCTGTTCTATTTTTCCTTTGTTTTTTTATTCTTTCTTTTATAGCATGATTCCTCTTTAATATATACCCATTTATTTAGTTATTATTATAGTTTATTCTATATCCATATTTAAATTACTCTCTAATTGAATTCCATGTTCGATTGGTTTTAATTCTTTTTCATGATTTTTTTTATTATCTTCTATTGTTGTATTTTCACTAATATTATTTTCACTCATAGTATTAGAAATATCAATTTCAATGTGTTTGTTAGTTTCTGTTGTATCGAAATTTTTACCAGTATGAATATCTACTGAAACCGATTCATTCATAGACATCAATTCTTCATCCGAACTGTCTATGGTATTTGTTCTATTATGTTTTTTAGTAACAATTATTTCATCATCTTCCTTATTACTAGGAATATTAGTAGAACTAATATTAGTAATATCTTGATTTTCAGTGATTTTATTTTTAATTCTAGCGAGACGTCGTTCTTCAGCCAGTTTTCTATTTCTGATCATTCTATCTCTCTGTTCGTCACTTATTGACGGAGATGATGTTACTTTTGGTGCTGTAAATAGAGACCTGAAAATGTTTAAATACATTTTTTATAATTATATTTCCTTTATTAATACAAAACATTTCCATTATACAGTTAAACACTACAACGAGAATTTCCTTTTATACTAATATTATAAATGCGAAAGTTTAGATAGATGGATGTTTGTTAGAGTTTGTATCCTAAACGGCTGAACGGATTTCAATGAAATTTGGTATAGATGTAGAGTATAGTCTGGAAAAACACATAGGCTACTCACTTTAGTTTTTTTATCCACGCGGGCGTAAGCTAATCTTCATATAATGCAAACATTCTAGTGAATTTTCAAACAACCCCCCTATAACACCATTTATGACTTAAAAAACGTGTTATACAGAGAACCATCTACCACGTTGTAGAGGGGTTTACTATACAAGCTTTGTCAATTAAACTTGTAAATTCCATATTACTGGTTAAAGCCTTTTTTCATATATTGCAATATTTGTTAGCAAATACCAGCTGTTGATTTAGGTAAGTAGGGGCAACTGGAGCCAATAGGAATTCTGTGGTCTCTACCTACACCTCTGGGTTAAAGATATAATTATATTATAAAGTTACCAACTAAAAGTTATAGACAAAATGGAATATTAAATAAAAGAAAAATTACCTATCAACAATAGAATCTTCTGGAACATTTTTCTTCACAGAATTTGGTGCGGGTGTATTTCTAGCCAGTTCTATTTGTTGCTGCAAGAGTTTGTCGAATTCATCTTCCTCTCGTTCTACTGGTATTTCGTCATCACTGGAATCCTTCTGGACTACTGTCTCCTCTGTTGTGTATTGATCTGATCTTATCTTTTGTAAATGGACCTGCAAGAATAAACATTATGAATGTTACCAAACATGTACCTTATAATATATTTTGCAATTTATTCATCCTCTACATTAAATAGCGTGAAAATATACAGCCTATACAATGCTGTAAATATATTTTTTTTGTTAGTAAAAAAAATGATTTAATAATATGTGGTCAAGCAATAAGTAATAAATATCATGCTGGCCGCCAAGAAAGCCATAGAAAATATTTTGTAATTAAGGAACGTAATTCGAATGTAGAGAAAAATGTGACGTGAGCGATGTAACCACATTTTATTTGTATTAAATGCCTTTTTACCAATTTATGTGAATAGTTTGTGTGTTTTATCAATAAATAAGGAAGATTTATTCAAAATGCTGTGATTATTGAGATTCTACATAACAAAGTAGTCTTGGCAAAAATCGAAATAGGTCTACTAGAGGCGGAGTTATATGGTTACACACATAAAAAAACATACAGACGAATTAAGAACCTCCTTCTTTTGGAAAGTCAGTCAATAATTAGAAGGAAACAATTTTTGGCAGATTCAAGAATAAGGCTGTAAAATCTATTACTTTAGGCGAGCTGGTAGCAATTAATATTTAAAAATAATTGATTAACTCATGTCAAATATTACCATAACTGGCCTCTTTTTTCCTAATGTTTCAATCTTCTTTAAACAATCGGAAAATTCAAACTTTGGATACAGCCTATACGCCCAATGCTCTAGTTTCTTTAACACTAGGTCTAAGTCCTCTTTTTCATGACCTTTGCCTGAAAAATATTAAAAATAATCAATTTAACTAACTTAATTCACATTAAACATTTTAAAATAAAAGAAATTTTACTCGAAATATTATTTTATTACTACATATATCCAGAAAAGCTTAATTTCTCTTGATAAAATAAGGATCTTGATGAAATTTGGCATATAAGACTAGATGAACACAAAGGCTAATTACTTTTTTTTTTAATTCTGAGAAGTTGAGTCACAGGCAAAAAAGCTAGCATTTACTACAGTTAGATTATTAAAACTGATAATAAGTAATCACCTTTAAATTTAAAATCTTTAAAATGATCAGGGATAACCTGTATGCCTCTAGGACCTGTAAGCCGAGCAGGATTTAGAGTGAATCTCGGATTCCTAACTGTTCGTTTAGATTTTGTACTCGATGGATCCACACGTTTTTTCTCTTCCTCTGCAATCAAAAAGGTTAATTATAACATAACACCTATGTTTATAATATATTTTATAGGTTTTCATAGATTCATTTTTAAGGTAAATAAATACCGGCTTCGTCTTCCTTTTCACTATTAGCATCACTGTCTGAACGTTGAGGTTTATCATCATAATCATCGCCTTCAATAACACGTTCGAGTTCCCTCGCTTCATCTGCCTCGTCCCTCAAAAAGATATCTTCTAAAAGAGACATATTAAAAAGTAAAAGTGAGAAATTTAATTAAAATAATTATTTTTTTTTCATAAATCGCTATTTTCGCACTTCAAGTTTAAAGTTGACTTTGTCATGTCAAAAAAAAAGCGGGAATTTTTAGAAAATATATCAAAGACTAATTTTGGTCTATGATTGTCAAAGACAAGGAATCTTTCTTGTTTCTAGTGATTCCTTGATTTTCTAATTGAGTTTTTAAATTCGATTCTGATGTTCCGATATATACAGAATACATTAAAATAGTTAAAAAGCTAACACGATGATGTTTTTCTTTTCAATTAAAATCCGAGCACACAAATCAATTCTTTCTTGAAATGATATATATTTTTATAAGGCTAGTATGCCGTATATTTGGATATCGGTAAAATAAATTTCGCTAAATTACGCATTTCGCATATCTTCTTCCAAATTTTCAGAGTATGTGACATGAGTTTCAATGAGATCTCAAGTGTTTCAACTACTATTTTAAAATTAATACCAAAACGATAAAACCCTTAACAAAACTGACTAAAAGTCAATGGAAAAATATTTGGCTCTGAAATTTTTACACAATACACGATTAATCGAAATTATGCAACCAAAAGAATTGGCATTAAAACAAAACTGGCCATTCTTTAAATCGTAACGTCGGTCATGGTACACCACTAGGAAGTCACGTGACCAGCTTGCGTTTGAGAGCGCATTCACAGGTATGGAAATAATAAATTTTATTAGAATTTGTGCCGTATTTCGGATAGTAAATTAGTTTTAAGGTAAAAAAACAAAGTTAAAATTTTAATGTGTACTACTGTGTTGTTAAATATGGTGTTAATTTGTGTCGTTCTCGTTTATTTCATCAACAAAGACTGTCATTTTGATACCAAGAAAGGTGCTTCAAGAATGGCGTCCCCCACATGTGCCGCTCGCCTATTGAATTTCGTCTCTGTTAGACGTTTAAGAAATTGATGACGTGAGCTCCGTTATGGTGCAGATGTGCACATAAATGGGGCTTTTTGGTGTTTTTGTGGAAAATTTTGCATCATTCGTTTTCATATTGGTTTTGTCTTGCGTTTCATTCAGTTATGAATCATTGCCCCGAATTTTACATAAAGTAATGTAAAACTTTAACTTATGGTATACTTCGATTGATCATGACATCAACCGTTATGGTTTTGGCGCTATTGTTATAGAATTGATATTAATTAGTGCGAGTTCCGGTGGCTTTGTTTTGTTTACTAATTTACCGCTAAAACAACGCCTTGGATTATCCAATACGAATGTTATCTTGTTTTCTTCGACTTTATATAAACATATCTATTTCCTTATTTACTCAGTTATATACTTCAAGTTTACACGCCCCACAGGTTTTCATTTGTAAATGTTAAATTTATTGATTATTGAAATATTTAAGGTAGTCAAGACAACAAGAAATTACCAACTAATCTATATTATATTAATTTTAAAAGTTGATACAATTATTGTAGTTTATGTGTTTTACAATTTAAATGTTGGTTTCAATATTAAAATTAACCTGCACTGGACTTTTTACAACTTTTTAAATTTTTCAGTATGTTATTGGTAATATAATTGACTGATAGTTTAATTTGTGGCTAAATCTGTTATTATTTAATCATAAAACAGAAAGTCATAAAAATAGCTTTGTATAAGAATTCAATTAGAATTATTGTTAAAAATTTGATTCTCAGTTCAGTTTTTTTATATTTTTATGATACCTCTCAACTGATTTATTTCTATTAATATGTGTTCTTGAATTATTCATCCGTATTTAATCTATACTAAAATTATTTCCATGTCTTGCAATTTTACATAAGTATTCATGTTTAGGAAACATGTTTATCCCAATATTTATTCTCTTAAGTGACTCAGACTATTTAGTTATCATCTTATTTTACATCTGCATACATAAACTGAATTTCCATTATTTCTCACACATTAGTATAGACAAGAATACATGATTAGCTTTGGCCCGCGACTCTGTCCATGTGGAATTAAACAACAAAACTGTCCATGTATTCTTTCATAGTATCTACATCTAAACAAAATTTCTTCGAAATCCGTTCAGCAGTTTACGCTACAAACTCTAACAAACATCCATCCATCTAAACTTTCACATCTTACTAATATTATAAATGTGAAAGTTTACATGGATGGATGGATGTTTGTTAGAGTTTGTAGACTAAACGGCTTAACGGATCTGGATGAAATTTGATATAGATGTAGAGGATAGCCTAGAACACATATGCTATTCACTTTTGTTTTCTTCAATTCCACGCAGACGAAGTTGCGGGCAAAAGCTAGTTTATACTATTAGTATGATAGGTATTTTTCAAACAACCTATATCCTTGAAGTAAACAAATGAGAAATTGTTTTAATCTTACTGTGAATAATTATCTACATACTATATACTTAGGTGTAGGTATGTTCTTTACATTCTATATGTAAACAATGTCAGCATACCTAAAGTTCCTATATTTATATGTCATGTGAAATATGATATTTATAATATTATCAATGCGAAAGTTACGATGGATGGATGAATTTGTTAGAGTTTGTAGCCTAAACAAATAAATGGATTTCGAATAAATTTTGTTTAGATGTGTCTAATTATCAATTGCAAATATAAAAATGACATTATGAAAAACCATGGCAACCTTGCTTCTTTGATGTTGGCAGCAACTTATGGTTTTTTTCCCACATTAGGGTTTTTATCCAAAATATTTACCCCCTAAGTTTAATGGCCTAAAATATATAGCCTAAAGCGTGACGTAAGTGTAGGGCTTTTTATTAAAAAAATAATTATTTAAAAAACATGCTGCAATTGCTGACATCTTAGGCAACAAAGAAGTGTGTGTTTACGCTTTATTATAATAATATAGATGAAATTGCAAAAAGCAATGTGTGAAGTCAACCCACAGTGGGTCAGCATAGGGGAGGCTCCGAGCTTCTCTCTGTGGGGAGATATTTGAGAAGTTTGATATAAAAATGTAAATAATCAATAAATTCATAACAATCTCAGTCATAACAATTACAAGTTCTTTGTAGAGTTCTTTGAACTGATAAATGTAAAATTTCATAATCAGATTATTTCATAATCAATGAATTTATTGTTGATATTAAAATGAATGTCATAAAAATTTATCTACAATATTTATTTTAGAATAAATGCTAAGACTATATTTATTTGCTAAAGATGCACTCTCTCCCATTTATTAAATCATGTGTAATTAAAAAAGAAAATGTTAGGAATTTAAGGCTCGACCAACCCATGCATTCCCTTCTAAAAATAATATTGACAAAACTTCTAAAAGTAAAAATTAGAAAATTAGTGATTTTGCAAATTATAATTCCAATAAGATTATCAAATATTTCTTGTAAATCTATTTTTTAATATTTTTAATAGTTACTTCACATCATCTCCCCTGCTTTATTCTACTTCCTTAGTGTCGGTGCACCGTGTTTTCGTCCTCCAAATAAATCTATCACACATTATCTCAGTCATCACTCCCTTCTTGATGTCACCTTTCACACAATCCATTCTCTTTCTAGTTCTACCTCTACTGGTTACCACAGTCATAACTAACATCCTTCTTGTTACATGCAATTCATCCCACATAACATGCCCATACCATGCTAACCTTTTACTCCTTACCTTCTCTACCACTGATACTCTAAATGCAAGTTATGGGTGCCTTTTATTCCTTAATTTCTCTAATATTTAATAGCATATTAGACACCATGTCCAGTATTTTACGCTCACTGCTTACATATTTTAGGTTCAATAGCAAATGAGATTATTGTTATGTTTATATGGATAAAGGAAACTCATTATAAAAACGACCTTAAGTCTTCAATGAAAGTTGTACGTTTACGATCGTTGGCGTTTTACCTTCAATAATGATTTAATAGTTTTAAACTCAGGTTAGTAAACTTTATATGTGATACTAGCTTTTTGCGTCCTCTTTCCCTTTCTACCCTTCTCGTAAAAGGAGAGGATAGGAAGGGGATGTGCATTAGACGGGAAAGAGAATAGGTAAGGGAAATGTCCTTTATTTATTCCCTTTGTTAAAGGTAGGCAATGCATCTGAAATGTGAATTTCTTTGGGTAATGGTCAATTCGCTATTTTGGCAATTTCCAATGGCTGCTTGTTTGTCACTCCGCGCGCACAGCAAAGGAATGGAACAAGTTGACATCGTCAGTGTTCCCTTCGAGTTATAACGTGGGTGTCTTCAAGAGTTGGGTGAATCTGTACTTACTGAGCTCGCGCGTAACATCCTTCGATCTTCACTTAGTTTAGGTGGAATCACGGTCTACCGCTGGTTTATTTATATAAAAAACTCTAGCACAGATGTAGAACATAAGCTACTTACTAAATTTTTATTAAATTCCGCGCGAAGTCGTGAGCATAAGCTAGTACGTACATAAAATCGATTTACCTTTTGTAACAGCGCAGTAGCATAATGTATTTATGCAGTGTTCCTTCTAGATCGATAAGTGAATACGCAGTTACATTGTTGTTCTGTGGGGTAGTTTTAAAATTCATTCATTCCGAAATAGCCCGTGTCCGAACACGTGATGTACTGCTCAAGGATTCTGTTTTGCAATTCCATAAGGAAAACTGTTATTTGAAAGAAACTCTTCGGAGAATTCGTACCCTTTTTGGATACACCTAAAAACAAAGTTTAATTAACGAGGGCTTATATGAAGTGTTCATTTACATTTTCAGTGCGTTTTAAATGTAAATGAGCTTACACTCATAGATCAACAGAGTTAGTGATTTATTAATTTTAAAACGAATTACCGTAGTAACGATTTTTGTCAAATATACCTACCACTTTTTTAGAACACATGCCTATTGTTCTTTCTCTTTAGATATATTAGTAAATTTTTTATATGTTATCGCTAACAGAAGTTTTATTTCTTTTGCAGCTGCTTGTAAATAGAGGCTGTAAATATAACTATAGTGAATAAAGATGAGTTTGGGAGCGCGCGCCACCAAGGGTGGTGCGAAGGGGGGCAAGGACGGCAAGAACCCACAGGACAAAGGCAAGCCCACAGACAAGCCCCAGCCTAAGGAGAAGGCCAAGTTACAGGTAAACTAACATCTTCCAACTATTATCTTACAATGTGTAGTGTAGGGCCGGCTCGCCCCCAGCAATACCACAACCACACAGAAGACAGGCGAGAAATAGAAGCAATTCCGCGTTTCGTCTGATGAGTGTGGTGCCGAAGGACTAATTTTATTCCCTTTCCCTTTCCACTCTTTTCTTAAGAGGAAAGGATGGGAAGGAGAAGTAGATTTGACGGTGGAGGTGACGTATAGGAAGGGGAAATGTCATTTTTATGTACGTCTCCTTCTCCGTCAATTAAGGGTAGGCAGCGCATTTGTAATTGCGAATGTTGATGGGCAGCGGTCGCTTTCCATTTCGGTGGATTCAAGTGGCCGCTTGCTTGTTTGCCAACTTATATTATTAAAAAAAACTTCTCTATCCGATGTCATTACTTGTGCGTAGTAACTTTGCCGATGGTAATGACGGCACGTGTTAACTAACAATACTAAACAGATCATCATCATCGGCAAACCTGTGCACGGCTAATATGAATTTTTGACGCAATTTTAAGTTGTTTTTTTTTCCAGGCCACCACAGAACAAATTCGCATGGCAAATATGATCGACTGCAAAAGCGAAGATACAAATGATGTTCGCAAAATGGTGAGAATATAATCATTATATACAACCTTATGTATGTGTGCTATGTATGATCATGTGAAAGTTTGTCTACAAGAGGCCACACTTGCCAATGATGTTTGATTGTGTTTTATAACTTACGGTATTTGAAATATGCGGCTTACTGCTAAAACATATCGTTGTCTCTTTTCTTCCTTATATATTCAAATAGTCTAAAATTGTAGAATGAATTTTATCAAATTTTCCCCGACAAAATTTTTTTTGTATCACTGTTTCGTCAGTGGAAATCAGCAGTTAGGAGTCTACAATGTCCAATGCTTCGTAACGTAAAGTTACTAGACTAAGGGACAGTCGGGGAAACTGTTGGTATTCCACCTACCAGCTACAATCGTCTGAAACGAGACTAAACAAAAATTAATACAACGCTGCTTAACTATACTATATACTATAATATTATAAAGAGGAAAGATTTGTATTTTTGTATGTTTTGAAATAACTCTAAAACTACTGAGCCGATTTCGAAAATTCTTTCATCATTAAAACGGTCATTTTTCTGTGAGTATTATAGGCTAAGTTTTTTTATTATTATTTTAATTACACACGGGCTAAGCCGCGAGTAACCGCTAGTAAGATTATAAACTACGAAAAAAAGTCGGTTAGTGATAAACGCCTAGATACTTTTTATTATCCCTTCGTTTGTACCCATTGCCAATTAGTTATTTGTCTTGTAATGAACAAGGCAATTTTTGCTGAAGTGAAACACCGCGTACTTCTGCGACTGTACTGAGTCCGAGTAGTTTCCGTTGTGACGTCATCTCACTTGAGTGTCCAAATATCTTGTAGGTTCAAGATATTTGGCTAGCTGTATAATTACCATGTTTTAGTACAAATGTTGTAATGCTATGTATTGCAGGTGACCGTCCTGATGGAGATGACTTGCCGCACAGAGGAGGAGGTTTGCTCCGCGCTGCACGACTCCGACAACGACATGTTTGTTGCCTGCAACTTGTTGCTGGAGGAGAGCGAGCGGATACAGGTATCATCATCATCATCACCACCACCACCAGCTCACTATATGTCCCGTTATTGACCTTGACTAGGCCATAGTCAACCTGCACTGCGGGTTGACTTCACTTGACTTCACACATATCTTTGAATTTCTTTACTGATGTATGCAAACATCACGATGTTTTCCTTCACCGTAAGAACGTCGAGTTAATTATGTACATATCAAATTCGAAAATACATTGGTACAGCAGGATTCGAATCCAAGACCTATAGATACAAGTAAAGTGTTCAAACCCTTGAGCCACCGCCACTCTATAGGAGGAGGAGGATACAGATGTAGTGTTTTTTGAATGTTACTGTCGGCTGTGCGATATGCAGTTCCTCTGCATTTTGCTACACCTCGAATTATGTTTTGAGCTGTGCGTGCGGTCAAGCTGATAACATTTTTGAATAGCATTATACATGTGAAGCAAGCAATTGGACTCTACCAATGTAACATTGGAGTCCACAAATTAGCTGCAATACCACGACCATATAGAAGACATTTTAAAGTTCGAAGTAAGTTAGTGTATACTGTATTGAGCGTTGTGTATTAACCTAACTTTGAAATGGGAAGCGTAAGTGGATTTGGCAGAGAAGAGGTGTATCGAAAAGGGAAATGTTCTTTTTCTGTACATCCACTTCTCTGTCTGCTATTTATTGTAGCGGTTGCTTCACTCTAAAAATGTTAGGTGGTTGCATGCCAATATCAATGCCACAATTATATTGAGTCTGTAAGGTGCTTTTTTTATAATGTAAGGTGGCAAACGAGCAAGCGGCTTTCTGAATCTCTTGAAATGGAAAGCGACCGCTGCCCATAAACATCCGCAATTGCAGATGCGTTGCCCATCCTTAATTCACGGAGTAGACGCACATAAAGAGCACATTTCCCTTTCCTATGCGTCTCCTCCACCGTCAAACTCACTTTTCCTTCCAATCCTTTTCTCTTAAGAAAAGGGTGGAATGGAAAAGGACTAAAATTAGGCCTTCGGCACCACATACATCAGACGAAACGCGGAAATGCTTCCACTTCACGCCTGTTTTCTGTGTGGTCGTGGTATTACACCAGGCGAGCCGGCCCATTCGTGCGAAGATGTTAAAGCGGGCTCTACCACTGTTTGGTGAACTTGTTTGTTAAAACTACGATATGTGTTTTGAATGGTTTTATATATGTATGTTAGGGCGAGTGGCAAACTAACGAGAAGAAAAAGAAGAAGCCCCCCGCCGCGGCCGGCAATGGCGAGGTGGAGGGCGCGCGGGACGGACGCGACCGCGACGCCCGCAGCAGATCCGGACCTAGACCACGTTAGTACACACAACCATTACCACTATCATCACCTACTATATGTCCGCACTGAATGACTCGGAGTCTACCCTAAATTAGGGGGAACTAAGTCATAGTAAACCACTATAATAAACTACTTGATCTATACTATTATAACAAAGCGTAAATACACACTACTTTGTTGCCTAAGATGTCAGCAATTTTTAAATAATCCTTTTTTTTAGTAAAAAGCCCTACACTTACGTCACGCTTTATGCTATATATTTTCAAACCATTAAACTTTTGGGTAAATATTTTGGATAAAAACCCCAAAGTGGGAAAGAGACCATAAGTTGCTGCCAACATCAAGAAAGCAAGGTTGCCATGGTTCATCATAATATCATGTCATTTTGACATTTGCAAATGATCATTTGACACATGTAAACAAAATAAAATTTTCATAATTTCATGCGGATGAAGTCGCACGGGATATAGTCACAGCTAGTGATATAATATAAATACTTGTTGACTGTGTGTTGTGTACAATGTG